AAAAGTTTGTACAGAGGCCTTCACGTGGTTCTGTCACGTATCTGGTCCAGAGAGTCTGAACGCCTGCTTTTCAAGGTTCCGACCTTGAAACTGGTTCCTAGTGAGAATGGTGGGTGGCAAGACTTTCCAAGGACAGGGGAGTGGGAATGAGGGGGGTGAGGGGGAGGCTCTGTTTCCCTGGAGGAAGTCCCTGGGAAGTGGTCAGGTCCTCTCACTGGCCTATTCCAACAGGCCATCCCCTTGTGAGTGGCTCTCAGTCCCCCTCTTCCACAACATGCCCTAAGCGTTAAACAGCAGAAGGTTTCGCTTGCCTAAGGCAGATGCCACAGAACTACAGGCACGGGGAAGGGAAGGCACGGATTAGGAGAACATGAATGCAGCGCTGCCATCAAACCTCACATGCAGACATGCCCAGCATGAGCGTTCTGCGCCAGCCCAGACACGGCCCGCGAGCAGCAGCTGGCCGCGAATTGAAGCTGGCCAACCCACGCACACAAGCAATGTCCATTTCTTTACTAAAGCCCATCCCACACAGGTGATAAAAAGCTCAGACTTGTCCAGCCGGCGTGGTTCAGTGGTAGATTCCCAGGACAGAACTCAGAACATGTTCAAATTCCAGATCAGAGCACACGCCCAGGATACGGGCTCAAACCCCAGTGGGGGCATGCAGGAGGCAACCAATTAATGGTTCTCTCATTGATGTTTTTCTCTCTCCCTCTCTTCCTCTCTGAAATCAATAGAAATATATTTAATTTAAAAAAATAAGACTCACACATTATCTCTCTCCCTCTCTTCCTCTCTGAAATCAATAGAAATATATTTAATTTAAAAAAATAAGACTCACACAATAATTTAAATATAAATATATCAATTTAAATTAAATATATTTAATTAAAAAAACACACACACCTGATTCCCCATACCAAATTCTGAGTCAGTTTCATGCTGCCCAGCCTCCTGGTCCCCTCAGGGGGAGCAGCAAACTCTCTTACATCAATGTTCCTCTCTCTAAAATTAGTTTAAACATATCCTTGGGTGACTTTTTTAAAAAATAATTTATGCCCAATTTTTCTATATTTAAAAGATACATAGTAAGAATTTGGGAAGGACTTGTATACATGCCTATAAGCAAAACCAATGGACGAAAAACTCTGGGGGGGGAGGGCATAGATGGGAGTGGAGGGCCAATGGAAAAAATATGTACACATATAATACCTTAATTAAAAAATTTTTAAAAAGAATTTAGACTTCATTCTTGGACCTAGCCTATTTCACCTTGAACTGCTGAAAGGGACACAAAATCAACAATTTGAGACAAATTGTGCTTTCTGAGCTACATGATAAAACAGGTACAGCTGCCTTAGCACATGGGAGAACGAGGAAGAAAATATGCTCTAAAAGATGAACGTGTCTCACCATCCCCTCTCCACTGCTCAATTAACATAATGTCGCCAAACATTCTCAAAAATCAACCCAGAAAATGACACTTGAAATTAGTCAACTGAAAAAAACGGGCAAATCATAACGAAAAACATGGTTCATCCATGAGAAACCATAGGGTGGACAGCTATTAGGAAAAGTTTTAAACATTGTCTTCCTTTTATAGTCTCATGCATCCAAAGTGGCTATTATTTTTTATTTTCCAACCCACCATTTGTTAAATAACAGAAACTATAGAGCTGAAGGATAAGCACTTTAAATAAGAATTCATACTCCAAGGAAGTAAGAATCTTTCAACTTTTATTTCCAGGATACATTCATCTGGAACCTCTTTGTTTCTTTACAATTTTCCCCCTAAGAGAAATTAATACAATAAAAATATAATCCAACTACCAGCAATGTTTGTAACCAGAAAAAGAATCTAAAATCTCTGGTGTGATAATATAGGATTTTTTAAAAATATAAACTTCATACCAGAAATAAAGCCTGAATATTCTCTTTTTCTTTAAAAATAGAATTTTTCCTTCTTTGCTCTTCCATGTAAATCGTATAATCAACGTTTAGTTTTAAAGTCTATATTTAAGCTAGTAATAATAATACTACAGCACTGTTTTTTTCCTACTTTGTATCCTGTTCTGTGACTCAACTAAGAATTGCAGTTAAAAAAAAAGAGAGAGAGATGCCACTAGGTTAATAGCAAGATTCTTGAAGTCCATAAAAAAAAAATCCCCACTAGCAAACTAAAACCTACTTAACAAGTTGCATTGTACAAAGCACTTTTGCAAACTGTAAAGCTCTCATGGAAAACTTTTTACAAAATCTGTGTTGGACTAGAAAGGCTAGTTCAATACGGGGACAGGTCAGGGACAGAAGGCTGTAAAATCTTGGTCTTTGTTCTGTAACACTTAGTTTGGGGAGGAGAGATTACACATTGCAAGCTGGGGGTACAGGAACATGGTTCTCTCACAAGGACTGGATGGTTTGCAGTGATGTATGAGTATTTTCCTTAACAGAGAATAAAGAGCAAGGGGCAGGGGAAGAGCCCGTACTTCACATGAGATTGAGAAGTCAGACCCGTCTGCAACTAAGAAAAAGGAGTAAGAAGTTAATGGTTAGTGGCTCTCTACCCAAAGCTCCACTATTGGAAGTATAATCCATTCTGAGACAGTGTTCCAAACTCGAACCTAAAAGGTCTGGGAATGGTGGTGTCCCAGATGATCATCAAAAAGCCTAATTATAAATACGGGCATTGACATACCTGAACTAGAGTGACACTCTCCTATCTCTAAAACAGCATTATCCAGAACACCCTTTGTAGGGTTATTTTGTAAGATGTTGGAAGCTAAGCACAGGATAAGAATGTTTGATAAAAATGAGCCCAGTGAAGGCGTCATTCTTGTTTGCTAGAATGCAAAATGGACTTAGGAGAAACGTCTCCCCATGAGCCATGAGGATGGAAGGAGACAGGCCTGTGAACACAGACGTGCCAATGGAGGCCTGCAGACCCTTGGGCGTCGGCACCTAGACAGTGGCCGAGAGAAAGCGTCCTCGGGGACCTAAGGGGTGAGGGAACGGGCAGGAGGAACAGTTCTGGGCTGCCGAGCGGCTCGGCACGCTGGAAGAGGCTGTCACCAGGCTGAGCCTCCTCTCCTAGGTTTTAACCATCCTCCCGGGGCACTCTGGGAGCGGGCCTAGCTCAGCCCGGGAAACGGGCTAAAGGCCTTAAAACTTCTCTTTTAGCCTCGGATGCACTTCCTCTTTCTTTAGCACCATCTTTCCCCAAGAGAATATTCAGGCCAACTTGGTTTTTGTTTTGTTTTTTCTGCATTAGTAAGAGTTATAAACTAGCAATTTGGAATACCCCTCTCACGGAGTATCTTGTTATTAGTATCTGACACCTTGAGAATTAAGAATGTAGAACTTAAATGTCATTTACACAAGAGTCAAACAAGCCATGTCACACTTGATGATTCCACATGAATAAAAGTTAGCTTTGATATGTAAAAACCTATCTTTTGCCAAGGTTTTAACTACTGGACTTTAAACCAATTGTAATATTCCATGTAAAGCTCATTTATATTGCAGTAACATGCCTTCATGTGTTCTATATACAACAAAGAAAGATTTTGAAATATACATATATTTTAAAACCAGTTCACTCTCTTTTACAATCACACCGTCAGTCCAACATTTAAAATATAAACCCAAACTGCCAATGAAAACAACAGTGGACCAAGTGACAGTACCATTTAAATGAAACAATAATGCAAGAAAATGTAGGCATTAAAACTTAAAAAAATAAACATAACCCAATTCATTGGAAAACTGCTCATATGCCTGATGTGTTCAGAAATGAATCTCACGCAGAACAGATCCCACTGTGATAGCAAACAACTCATTCCTTTCTCATTTTCTCATTCCATGAAGCATGGCTCACTACTTTTGCTGAGGTTTAGACAGTGATTAGTTATCTTAACAGCAGAGATTAATATTAAATACACAGCCTATTCCAGAATTGGCATATGCTCCCAACAACTGTTTTGTGTGCTTCCTGAATTATAAAATAGTCCTATCTTTAGGAGCATAAAAATGAAAGGGCTTAAATCTACTCACATACATTGTGCATTAAATGTTACCAAGTTAAGACAGTAAGGTGGAAAAAAGGAGAAGGGTACAGTCAATTTTCTTTAAACAATCCCATTATATTAGACAGTACTGTCAATAATGTATTTTAACCAGGTTATAAAAAAAATAATTACCAGGATTTGTACCAATTTCTTGGAGAAATTAATATAACATTAAATATACAGTTTTTGTATATTTATTTGAAGAATCTTTGGTACCAATTGTGTTCCTTCCACATAGGACTCTTCAAAATAAATTTCAAAATTAATATACTAGTCAGCACATAAAAGATAAACTATGATACTTTCATTTTCCTATAAAATGTACTTGAACCTGACTATTAACCTGCACTAATCATGCACTTAAACACATAACTCATGTACATAAGAGACTAATACTACAAAGAAATTAGACAGTAATGAGAATCAATGACAAAACATAACAATAAAAACTGTTCTTAAGTAATTTATTTTTAAATTATAAGATTACAATGCTTTGATTATGCAAAGTAGCATAATGGAAATTAAACCAAATCAATAAACCAAAAGAAAACTTGGTTTTCTTGAATATCAGTATTTAAACCATCACTGTAAGTATCTGATACCCCAATCATAGCTTACGTAGACATAAGTATATTTATTTCAAAGGTTTCTCTTGCGGGTTTAATTTCTTATTTCAACTTTTATGAACTGTAATATAATTTATTTCAAATCCTATTATACCTAGTGTTTATACTGCAACAGCAGCAAATCTCACATGTGCAATCGAATGTGGAACTGGGGCACAGCTTTCAGTTTATAGCCGCAGACAAAAATTATACACTGCATTCAGAGCAGAGTGCGTTAGATTAACCAGAGCGTGGAGTTTAGTACACTTATTGCAGATAGTATTTCTTTCCCTTTGCACTGAACCAGCTGAGCTTCTGAGCTGCCATATTACTGCTGTGGATAGTAAGGCTGCTGTGGGGGCTGAGGAAAGGGGTATGAAGGCTGCTGGGGTCCTGGGAACGGAGCCTGTCCGGGGTTCTGATGATACACTGGCGGATATGGCATGTTGTACTGGCCGTACGCATAAGGGTTATAGCCCATGGGCATGGGCATTTGGCAATACCTGATGAAAAGAAGGAAAAAAATGGGTTGATAAATCAAATACGAAAAAAATGAAACAATTATTCAAATACCAGTTTTTTCAATAAAGCCATTTGTCTCCATTTCTCAAGTCTATTAGAGAACAGTGGAGAGAAGAAAACAGCTGTTTCAAAGTACCTGTTAGAGAAAAGTGTTCCTAATCCTGTTATTAATTGAAATGAAAGAATGTCAAGTTCACTGTAATGCATATAAATTTACTGTTTATAAAATTCTTAACAGTGGAAAGACAGAATGGATTTAGTGAAGTTTGAAACACACTTAAAAAATAGTCAAATGTCTGGTTTAACTAATTATCACCAAAAAAGCAGATGTTTAAAAAAATACATTCCATAATTACATAAATTTCTGCTCAACAGCTTATCAGAATGCGAAGATTTCAAAGTACAGGAATATAAAGAAGGCCGTATCAGTCTGGCTCACGGTAAGCTCAGAAAAGGCACTTGTTTATCACCTAAATCAGTGGTCGGCAAATTGCTGCAGTTTGCTGCTCTAGTGACTAATGAGTACGCTGATCACTGACCTAAATAAATAGGATCAAGGAAACATATTCTGAATTCCATACAGAAGAGACGTGATATAAACCCAATATGTAAAAACTAAAAACATAAATATGCTTGGGAAATAGCTATCTCAACTACTCAAATAAATGACTATAGCATTATTTTTACTTCTGCATGAGCTGACAATGTGCTTATTCATTTATGACACGCCCACTCAGAGCAGAGACAACCCTGTATTTAGCAGGTTAAAAAGAGCAGAACATCAGCTGCTTCACTGGGATAAACAAAGTTTGCGCCTTACCCGGGATATCCTGGATAGGTGGGGTACGGGGGGCCCTGGGCCTGTGGGAGGGGAGCTGAGCCAGGAGTCTGGGATGCAGCAGGTGCAGGAGTTCCAGTCACCGCGGGAGCTGAGGCAGCAGCAGCAGGCGCTCGATTTGCTGGAAACGTAGGAGGTGGAGGCCGGGCTGGGGGCTGAGGCTTACTGGGCTATAAGGAAAATTCAGCAGTAACTACAAAATGTTTCGTGTTTCTGTCAAATCGCTATCAAGTCAAATAAATGAGGGGGCATGAGAGAAACTCGACAGACTCCAACTAGATATACTTCTAATTCCCATTCTTAAATGTGGGCTTATTACTCTAAAAATGTATCACAGCTGAGGAATAATTCTCCAATTTGTTATTTGTTTATTTAACCCTCATCTGAGGATATTTTTCCACTGGGTTTGTTTGTTTTTAGAGAGAGGGAAAAACAGAAATATTGATGTGAGAGAAACACATGAATTGATTGCCTCCTGCCCGAGCCCCAACCAGGGCCCAGGCTGGGGAAAAGCCTACAACCGATGAATGTGCCCTTGACCAGAATCAAACCTGGGACCCTTCCATCCACAGGCTGATGCTCTATCCACTGAGTCAAACTGGCTAGGGCTAATTCTCTGATTTGTGGATCCTTGGTAGCCACTGCTCCTTTCCTGATGCCCAATATTTAATCATTTACTGCTCACTGCTCCTCCCACCAATGGTTAGACAACTGAGGTGGGAGGAAGGAGCAGGTCAGGTACAGTTTATTACTGTAATCCCATCCTGATCCCAACATATTATGACATTTTTTAAAGACCAGAACACTTAAAAGAATAGCATAATATACAGGGGTCTAGTAATAATTAATGTCGTTTTCAAACATTCGTTTAAAATCTTGCTTGGCGTTGACTTGTATTGACATAACCTTCAAACACGTGGTATCTACAGAACGTGTGAAGTGCAATTAACAAGTTTTGCTTGAAAAAGTTTGTGTTTGGTTTGGTTTTTGTTGCAAAACTAGGGCTAAGAAGATGGCGGATGAAGAGCATATTTGGCACTGCATGCTTTACGAGTTCCAATTAGGAAGAAAAGCAAGTGAGGCTGCAAAAAAACATCTGTAGTGCTCTTGGTCAAGATGCAGTTAGCGCCAGAAAATGCCAGCGTTGGTTTGAGAAATTTCACGAGGGAAATTTTTTGTTAGATGACAAGAGTGGTCGAGGCCGTGTGTCCAATTTTGATCAAGAAGCTCTTCAAGCTCTTTTGGTGCAAAATCCTCAAATTACCCAACAAGAGCTTGTGACAACTTTAAATTGTTCACAAAAAACAATTTCCAATCAATTGAGTGCACTTGGCAAAGTCCAAAAGTTTGGAAAATGGGTTCCTCATGAGTTGACCGACAACAACCGTAATCAAAGAGTCACAATTTGCAGTTCGCTCCTCTCTCGTCAAAACCGTTTGCCGTTTTTAGAGCAAATTGTTACCGGAGATGAAAAATGGGTGCTGTATGTTAATTTGAAAAGGCGGCCTCAATGGTTGGACAAAAATGAGGCTCCGCAGCCCACGCCAAAACCTGACTTGCATGCGAAAAAAGTGATGTTGTGTGTTTGGTGGAATTTTAAAGGAATTCTTCATTATGAACTTTTACCATCTAACCAAACCATTACAAGTGCAGTGTATAGTGCCCAATTGGAAAGGTTAGCCCAAGCTTTAAGAGAAAAAGAACCCGCGCTGATTAATCGGAAGGGCGTAATTCTTCACCACGATAACGCACGACCGCATACTGCAAGAATCACTGCTGAAAAACTGCGCCAGTTGGAATGGGAAGTTCTCCCTCAACCTGCATATTCTCCTGATATTGCCCCTTCCGATTACCATTTGTTTCGTTCTTTGCAAAACTTTCTTCTTGGAAAAAAATTTAATAATGAAGAATGCCTCAAAAATGCATTGACCGAATTTTTTGCATCAAAATCACAAGAATTTTACAACAGAGGGATTAAAATGCTTCCTGAGCGTTGGGCACAAGTAGTAGAAAACAACGGCAACTATATTGTTGATTAAATTTTGTTGTATTTGTTTAAATAAATTCGATTTTAAAAAGTATTAGAAAACGACATTAATTATTACTAGACCTAATACAAGTCCTAATATTGTCCTACATAATCATAGGACCACTTCACCCTAAGAAAATTAACTCTTACTTCCTAATACCATCAAGTATCCATTCCACATTTAAGTTTCCCCACTTATCGCCAAAAGAAACTCTGACAAGTGTTTTTATGGATCCAATCAAGATTCGTGGATTGCACTTGGTTATTATGAATCTTTCCACTCGTTTAGCCTTAAACATGCCTATGTTTTCCTTCCTATGACATCCCCTTTTAGAAAAGATCAAGCCAGATATCTCACAAAATGTCCCAGTTCTAGATCTGTCCAATGGTTTCCTACCGGCACAATTAACTTCTTGTTTCATCACCCTGTTTGCTATAAACTGGAAGTTGGTTCTAAAGACTTGATTAGCTTCAAATTAAAGATTTTTTGGCAAGAATTCTTCACATTGCAAAACATCACGTTGGTCACCTGATCAAAATGGTGACACCAGATTTATCCAACATGAAGTCTGTTCCATCCTTTGCAGTGTTTCCCAAACTTTTGACATATGTGTACCCCTTCTATAATTTTCGTAACGCTGAGTACACCTCGTACTCATGAGAACGTAGAATTAGGCGCAGCTAAGCATGGTGCAGTGCATATCCCCACCAAACTCTTCCCGTACCCCTGGGGGTACGCGTACCACACTTTGGGAAACACTGCTTTACAGCAAGCAAGCTGTCACTAATGTAAACTTCCATGTCCAGAGGTTTGCTTACTGACCGCTGTGGTTCTTGGCGCTGGAGTTGGAGGAGTGGGGGCAGTTCCTCCTGCTGGAGAGGACTGGTAGGCAGGTGTAGGAATCGAAGGAGCACTAGGTTCTCTGGCAATGCTTTGTTGCAAGTCCCTTATAAAAGACAAGGGTTAGAAATTAGCACAATAAAAGAAAACCCAACAACACAGGAAATATCAGGTGTTTTTCTTTTCTTCATTCATGAAATACAGAAAATAGGTTCAAAACAATGATGGTATTTTGAAACATGCTACATTTCTGCTCTTGACTAGAACTGCCTTTAAGTCTTTTCTCCCTACTATTTAATGAAATGAAATTAGTTCTTATGCTACTTGTGAAGCCTAAGGGAAAAGGTAAACTTTCAGAGATCATAGTAACAGCTAGAGTAAGGAACATATCAAACTGGTCCTAAACGATTGCCCACTCTCTCTCTTTTTCCCCCCAATATATTTTTATTAATATCAGAGAGGAAGGGAGAAGGGGATGGAGAGATAGAAACATTAATAAGAGAGAATCATTGATCGTCCACAACTGGGGATCAAGCCTGAGACCTGGGCGTGTGCCCTCGATCAGAATCAAACCCAGGACCTTTCAGTCCGCAGGCTGATGCTCTATCCACTGAGCCAAACCAGTTAGGGCGACTGCCCAGTCTTAATAAGAGGTCATCCTCTAGATGAGAAACTCCTAACATAATAACCAGAAAATTACAACAGCTCATAGTCACCTCATAGTCATCTCACTATTAAAATATTTTAATCACTATTTATAGAAACCATAACAACAGGTGAGAAAGCTAACCTATTCAAACCATTTTGTAAATTTCTTAATACTTTCTAAAGATATTCAAAAAAATATGGCACTGAGATGTTTCATGTTAAAAGATATCTCAAAATATATTACTAAGGTAAATTCTTTATAAAAGAGACAGTTGAAAAGACCATTAAAATACAGTATTAAAAAACAGAAAAACATCTTTAAACCCTCTCTACCGAGATAAACTAAATCCATCCCAAAATCTCACTTAAATAAAACAGAAGTACTGTAAGTGTAAATTACAAACCAGATTTCTGGATTTAGTGTGGGGGAGAGCGGAATAAACTACCTCCTTCATAATTTTTGCATTGATTATATTTTGAAATGATGCTACTTTGGACATACTGAATTTTATGTTGCCTGTTTCTTTTTTAGCCTTTTTTAAAAAATATATATTTTATTGATTTTTTTACAGAGAGGAAGGGAGAGGGATAGAGAGTTAGAAACATCGATGAGAGAGAAACATCGACCAGCTGTCTCCTGCATATCCCCTCCAGGGGATGTGCCCACTACCAATGTATAATACAATACATGCCATTCACCAGAATCGAACCTGGAACCCTTCAGTGTACAGACTGACGCTCTATCCACTTATCCAAACCGGTTTCGGCTCTTTTAACCTTTTTAATGTGACTACTAGGAATTTTAAATTTTAAGTTGTACATGTGACTGCATAGTACCACCAAACAGATGTACCTTTACTTATTTTACCAGCCCTAGACATCTGATTTGTTTCTATTCTTTTACTCCTAACAATAATATTGGACAGTGTGTTTTAGAACCTTCCTGCCCACACTATTTACAATTGCCCAAAACTAAAAACTACTTGAACACTCAATGATAGTACTGATAATAAGACTGTTGTATATTCATATGATGAAATATATATATGGGAACATCATACCAATGAATCTCACTAATATAATGTTGACTGAAAGCCAATCACAGAGTTCACCATGTAGAAACTAGTCTACATTCTCAGTGGAGACAGTGATTGCCATGGAAGAGTGGGTGACGACTAGGTGGCTGCATTAGCTATGCTTCTGGGGTACTTCCAAGTGCTCAGTGCAGGGGTGTGCTCAGTTTGTGAAAATTCAACAAAGATATAGATCTATATATTCTTTTCTTGTTTTTTTTACATTCAATAAGAATGTTTTAAAGAATTAGGATCTGCCGGGACCGGTTTGGCTCAATGGTTAGAGCGTCGGCTTGGGGACTGAAAGGTCCCGGGTTCGATTCCGGTCAAAGGCATGTACCTTAGTTGCGGGCATATCCCCAGTAGGGGGTGTGCAAGAGGCAGCTGATCGATGACTCTCTCTCATCGATGTTTCCAGCTCTCTATCTCTCTCCCTTCCTCTCTGTATAAAATCAATAAAATATATATTTAAAAAAATAAATAAATAAATAAAAAAATAAAGAATTAGGATCTGAGCATAACAGTGATTTTAACAAAGGTCCCGCTACAAGGCCTGCACCTTAGATCTGAGCTAGATCCATTTTTATCTATTTTATAGAGATTCTCTGTAAGACAGAGTTTGAGCAAAAGGTTCTACAGCTCAAAAAATAAAAAGTGGAGGGGGTGGATGAACACAATCCAAAAAGTTAAGATCAGCCGAAACCGGTTTGGCTCAATGGATAGAGCGTCGGCTTGGGGACTGAAAGGTCCTGGGTTCGATTCCGGTCAAGAGCATGTACCTTGGTTGTGGGCATATCCCCAGTAGGGGGTGTGCAAGAGGCAGCTGATCGATGACTCTCTCTCATCGATGTTTCTAACTCTCTATCCCTCTCTCTTCTTCCTCTCTGTACAAAAATCAATAAAATATTTTTTTTTTTTAAAGTTAAGATCAGAATACTTGGTTTTTACTATAAAAACATGAACTCCCATTATTTAGTTAATGTAACTATCTGAAAAGATTATATATTCTTTTACATGACTCAAAACTTTAAAAAGTGAAAGATCCCTGCCTGCCAGTTCCCATGCCACCATTCACTCCCCAGACAGATACCCACTATTCTTTCTTAGGAGCCCATCCTGAGTTTCCTTATGCATAAATAAAACAATTCAAATGCATATATTTTCTCACTTTTCACACAAAAAAAATAACATACTTTACAAACTGTTCGGTACATTAACTATCTTAGCGAACCTTCCATATCAGCAAACTTAAAACATTCTCCTTTTGTAAATAGCTGCATAGTGTTTCAGTGTACAGCTAGCTGTAGCTTCATTCATTTCACCAGCCCTGGATATTTGATTTGTTTGTATTCTTTTACCGCTACAAGCAATGCAGAAACGAATTAGCTCATAAATATGTCATTTCTAGCATATGCTAATATATCCTCAGAATAAATTCTCAAAAACAGAATAAGTGCATTAAAGGATATAAGGATTTGTAATCCTGACTTTGGTAGCTAAAGTGCTCCACACAAGGACGGCACCAATGTGCACTCTCACAGCAATGCAGGGGACCTATTCCCCGAAGTGTGCTAATAAAGCATGTGAAACAACTGCTAGATTTCTGCCAACCTGAAAAGTGTTATTTCTGAGTAGTTTCAATGTGTGCATTTTCTTTTGAACGTGGTTCTCATACTTAAGAACCACTTATATTTGTTTGCATCCTTTGCTCACTTTTAAACAAACCATTGGGTTTGTCCTCCTCTTGATTATCTAGGAGTTCTTTATAAATTAGGTAATAAGGCTTTTGACATAATAATTCAACCTTGGTTTTTCTTTGCCCATCTCTGATTCTATCTTTACTTTGGTTTTATTTATTTATTTATTTATTTATTTATTTATTTATTTATTTATTTATTTATTTTTACTTCTACATTTCTACTCTGTGTTCCCGTGTTTTCTTCACTGTCTATATTCTCCTTTTGTGCTCCTTCCCATTTCATCTTAGATCTGGGATGGTTTGTTTTTCTCTTCTCTTTCATGAATTCTGACACCACGTTTTATCACCTGTTTACTCACCATCTCGAGTCCTGGCATTAGTTTTTGATGTGCCTTTGAAAGATTGCTTCCTAACCCTTTTTTTTCCCATAGTAAAATGTTAGCTCAGAATTTTCACCTGTCCTGTGACAACATTATTTTGGTGAATGTTCTTCATCTATAGGTTTTGTTTCATTTTGTCCATTTTTTCACCTTAATAAATATAGTCTCTTCGTATCAATGCTGTGTCAACTCTCTGCTGATTACTAAGCATGGCTCAGCTCTCAGCAGTCTCTTTCAGAAAGTGATCCCACCGTCTGTACCTCTAGTTTATGTAAGAAACCTATTTGCCACCACAAAGTAAACTACTTACGTTTATCAGCATGTCCTCAGATCTGCCACCGTGAGCTGCTTTATTATCATTTCTGTGACATCACTGTACTCCCTACATCTAGAGTTTCTGCTCTTTTTTATCTTTTTGTTTCTGGACCATGCAGGTGTTTGCTTACTTGTTTTATAAAACACCCAGGAGCAAAAAAAAAGATTGCTATCTCACACTGTCAAGTTTACCCCAAAAGTCTCCACAAGGTTGGCTTTTTAAACAAAAATACTTTAATTGCAATTTAATATAGGAAACAAACTTACTTTAAGAGTTCATCTCTTTCTGTTTTCCGTGCAAACACTATATCACTGCACTTGTTCTGGAACCGGACTAGGATTTCGGTCAGCTCGTTGTAAAACTATAAGCAAACAACAAATACAGGTAATAAACCAGAACAATTTTTAATCTAAGGAAGAACACAACCTAAAGCTCAATTGTCAAAACAGTTAAAAATGAAAAACTAAAATTTTCTACATTGGACAATTCATACTACTTAAGTCTAACTTAATATTAAAGATGAGCTAAACCAAAAACTGGTTTGGCTCAGTGGATAGAGCGTCGGTCTGCGGACTGGAAGATCCCAGGTTCTATTCCGGTCAAGGGCATGTACCTTGGTTGCGGGCACATCCCCAGTAGGAGGTGTGCAGGAGGCAGTTGGTAGATGTTTCTCTCTCATCGACATTTCTAGCTCTCTATCCCTCTCCTTCCTTTCTATGGAAAATCAATAAAATATATTTATAAAAAAAAAAAAAAAAAGATGAGCTAAGACTCCTAAAGAAAATAGTAAAATTGCTTTTAGAGAACAATATTACTAAAAATTAAATGGTAACAAGTTAAAAGTTTCATGACCATGTTTTGTACATTTGCCCAATTCCTAACCCACTAGCCCTATTTCACTGGAAGGACTAGATCTGCACACTCACTTCAGAAATGCAGCATCATTTCAGAAACCCTTAGAAGAATTCCCACTTGTCTATTTCAACAAAGCATTAAACAAAATTAAAATATTTTACTATCCTCTCTATTTTTTTATTTATTCCCACTGCAGTATTTATACCACTCTTTATAGAGGATTTTACATGACATCTACTGTATTTTCACCAAGATAACTTTATCCAATGATCACAATGGAATTAAAGTACCAAAGGAGTGAAGTGTTAGAAAACTTAAAAATCACTTGTTCCCTCATAAGCAAAGTAATTGGTAAAAATACAAGCATTTCCCTAAGCTCTTTAAAGAATAGGCAATAAAATACTGAAAACATATTGAATAAGCACTCTGGAGACTGAGACAGATCACAAGTCTATTATTATCCAATATAAAGCACAGAATATAAAAGCCATATCCACCCACCCACCTTCCTCAGACAGATCAGCTGTTTCCTCATCAGCTGAATTGGTCAACTTTCCACCTCCCCTTCCCCCCACAAACACCCCAAAAACAGGGGTCAATGGCTTTTGATATCTCTAGGCTAATTCCTGTTACATCAAATGTTAAACCATTTTCTGCCTTGTGAATTACACAGTTCATCAAAGTTCCCATGAAATGTTGCCACCTTCATTAAGATCTTATAACAAACTTCTCAGAGGCAAAAGTCATTAAAGCTAACAAATTCAAGGCAAAAAAAGTGATACAACTGGAAAAAACACACAATTAACTTCCCAAATTACATATTCACATCTATACTGGATAGCTACTGTTTCTTTAGTACACCATACCTTTGTGCCTTCCTTTAAATTAGCTACAAGTTCAACAAAGTTGTCATATGCAGCTGCTAAATTCTTCAAAACTTCTTCTCTTAAGTTAGCTTCATTGTTAGATTGTTTCATTTTTGAAAATTCCTGGTGTGAAACCTTGTTAAAAGAAAAATTTATGTATTTACATTTATTTCTCAAATTAACACAGCTCATAACATTTTTATTGATACTTTTCCAACTATGAAGATCAATATATTATATGCAGTAATTACTAGAAATTTAACAAATATTTATTTTGGAGTAGCACTGTGCTTTAAATCTTTCCTTAAGTAAAAACATCACAAATTCAGTGTTTGATAAAACAATCAATAATGATTATAGATTGCTAGTAACATGTATACTTGCAAAAAAAAAGATAATCCTAAATGAACATAGATTTAGAATAGGCTTATCCTTTCTTTAATTTTTTTAAAACATAAATCTTATTAAAGTATATGAAGTACACCTGAATATTCTTAAGAAGTCCTTCCTGTTTCTTTAGAGATTCTTGGACTTTCGTCGTAAGACCTCCATAGATTCGATCCAGCTCAGTAACGGAAAGAGCTTCTTCGTTTATAACACCATCTTGAGCCAAAGCAGTCAAAAATCTGCTTGTCATATCAAAATTCATTGATTTCAGGTCATTCTCTAGACCCTCTCTTTCCTTCTTTACTTCATCAAGATTTGTCAATAGGGATTTTAATACATTTACAACCTTAAAAGAAAAAAAAAAGAAAACCTTAGTTTAATTGAAAAAGAAACCAGAAGCCTGGGTTATGGAATCAATCCACCAATGTGGGGTATGCAGAAGGTAGCCGGACAATGATTTTCTCCCATCAATAATGTTTTTACCTCTCTTTCCCTCTCCCTTCCTCTCTGGAATAAAAATATATGGGGGGGGGGGGGGGGGGGGAATGAGGGCATAAGCAGTAGAAAGAAATATGACTCCTTGAGGTCCAAGAAGCATCAAATCATAGACACACTAAAGAAAGGAGAATGTGTCATACCTGGATGGACATGACAAAGCCTGTTTAAGAGATCTAGTGGAATCAGATGTTAGACAATGTGAATAAAAATCTTATTTCCAAATGACTCCCATGACACATTGTTAAATGAAGAAAAAAGGTGCAGAAGTGCATGCGTGCATGCATGTGTGTATAATGCTGAATTTTGAGAGAGAAGAGAAATCTGAATATAAAGATATACATATACATAATATATTATGTACATATGTATGCATATGTTTTTTTCTGCAAAAAAGAAAAGGACTAAGGACAAACCAGAAACTAGTGAATATGATAACTTATAAAAAGTGATGGGAACAAAGTGGAAAGAAAAGAAATGAGATTTCTCTTTTGAATCATAAAAATTTTTTCACATTCAAAATTAAAATTAAATCAAAACTTGAATATAGAAATAAATGAATGAACTGTCCATCTAAGTAAAACATAATTTCAAAATAAAATATTTCAACTCTGACTATACTCCTTTAGTGGACATAATAAACTTAATTACTGTGTAACTAAGGTCAGTTTACTACTAGGAAAATTCAATTTTCTCACCTGCAAAATGAGAATAATAGTAATATTACCTATCTCAGGACTGTTGTGAAGACTGAACTAATTTACATAAAGTGCACAAGATAATTTCTAACAAAGGGTAAGTGTTTAATCGTGTAAGAAATTACTATTAACTGGTAGTTAGGTTTTATGGTTCAACTCTATACTTTGGGCACATTATTGACTAAAGAAGCTTAGGCATGCACATTCAGACAGGGATAGAGGAAAAAATTAAGAATTAAAGCATCCTTTATTTTGTTGAAGTATAACTATGTAATTATGTGACACAGTTTGTTTTGGGAGGGTTTAATAGAATATACATTTTAAAGGTTGCAACTATTATCTGTTGGTGCATTTAAACCGATAATGGAACCTGAACCATGACTCTGCCTAAAGCGTTTACCCTATAAAGTCGGTTTAGCTAATAGAAAAATAAGAGATGTCATTTTACTCTCTCTGTAAGTTATGTCTAACAAAAACTAGGAAAAGGAATATGCAGAACTGGTTTAAAAATCAGCCTCAGGGTGAGAGTCAGGAACACTATAATAGTATTATTTTGAAACAGACTCCATGTTCTTATGTAGTATAGAAACTAAGGTGTCTCATCAAATAGTAGGCTAAAATTGGGGCGATAATACCCCCAAGTTAGCCAGAAGTATTGTGAGAGGACAGGCATGATTCACATGGACACAACTTCCTCTTCAGAGGGCAACCCATCACCCGTTTGTCCCGCATATCCACATTGTATATGTTACCTGCCTGCTGTCCTTTAGTAGCAGGCTGTTGTGGTATTAGTGCCTTTGTTCAAATAACACTTATTTTACTGAATAGTGATCTCAAAGTCAAGAGGAATGATGCTGGCAATTTGGATATACCAAAAGATGCCAAGAAGTGCTCCCTGTAAGTGAAAAGGTGAGCACTGTACACTAAGATATTTTAAGAGAGATCACATAACTTTCATCACAATATATTATTATAATTGTTCTCCTTTACTATTGTTGTTAGTATATTACTGTACCTAATTTATAAATTAAATTATAATTTAATTTATCACTGGTATAGATGTAGAGGGGAAAACATAACATATATAGTCTCAGGCTTCATTATCCCTCTTGGATAAGGGAGAATACTGCAATTAGTATTCTTTGTTCCATTAGGTCCCCTGACCCCCTTTAGAGATCCAGGTTCTGTACACATTCTTCTCTTTACTTTGGGGGCTGGTTTCCACTGAACCTCTCTAGTAGCTTCTCTGGCCACACCTACTCACTCAATCCTTAAATCCATATGGGTTCACTTTTTCTGCCTTTTTATTCTGTTCTCATAATGTGCCAACCTCTTAAGAAGTCTCTTAAGAGAGGAGCTCCGGCCCTAGCCAGTTTGCTAAGTGGTTAGAGCATCGGCCTGTGGACTGCAGGTTCGATTCTGGCAAGGGCACATACCGGCTCGATCTCCAGCCCCAGTCGGGGTGCATGCAGGAGACAACCAATCGATGTGTCTCTCACATCAATTTTTCTTTCTGTCTCTCCCTGCTTCCTTCCACTCTTTCTCAAAATCAATAGAGAGAGAGAGAGAGAGAGAGAGAGAGAGAGAGAGAGAGAGAGAGAGAGAGAGAATATGCTAGAATTTAAGTACTGTGTCATCTAAATTCCCACAGCTTATCTCTGTGACTATGACACTTAAGTTTCTATCCCATAGAGTAGTTATCCTGTATATGTCTAATCTTTGACACTGGACTGTAAATGGAGGGTGAAGGCTGTTTGATTCGTTTGTTAATTTTTCAAAGCACTTAACATAGTGCCTTACATAGATTAGATATCTAATAAGTCTTGGTTAAGTAAAACCATGAAATGCTTCTGTGGAAAGATAAATAAGAAATAACACTGATAACTTTTGAGATCTATGGCTTCAGGAAATTCATTTTTCAAGTTTTCAGCAGTACTTGTGTGCTTTGGCTTATTTTCCTGTGTACTTCAGGGCCTCTATCTTATCCTACATTACCTCACCAGACATTATACTTGCACTTTCTCCTCTTTTGGGACTTTCTGAGACCAATGCCCCATTATTAATTTTCTCCTTCCTGTTACCAATAGAAAGGCCATAATGATGTTACCCATTTATTAATATGCACACCTTGTCAATTTTCCTTTCAGAGGTAGGCCCAGTGGAATATGGTGGAATTGTGGGAGACAAAAGTATGCAGCTAGGAATGTGTGGTCAGAGAGTATCTAGCCAAACGCAGTCCTTCCACATAGGGAAATTTTCTCCCTTTTATAAAACCTTAATTAAATACTGTGAACATATGGAGTATCTAGAATAGAGTACCCAGCTCACAGGAGCATCAATAAATGAAAATTATTATTACAGGATTGTAATGTTATTACTATAATTACCTATTACTCAGTGTACATTATCAGGCTACTTTAAATATAACAGCCATAATTAACATTTGCACTTTTAGAAAGATGCCAGTAAGAAAGAAATCAGCAATTTGTTTATAATCGCTTGAACATCATTCTCATAAACAGATGACCAGCCACATCAAAATGCATCTTCTTACCTCGCTGCCCTGCATGGTCTTTGCTGGGTTAGCAGAAGGGATGGCCGCATTCAGCTCAGGCTCTGGCTTACACAAAAGTGCAATGGAGTCCCGGTGCGACTGATACCGTTCTTTCACTTTCCCATCTGCTTGCAAAGCTTTATCCAAAACTGCTCTGAAATTGGCTCCCTCTGTGGGAAAAAGGATGTAATCAAACTGATTTCAATAATAATGTTTATGGATTGATTGTACTCTTAGTTCTGTTCTCCTCCTACAGGCCCCAATTCTTTGTAGTTAAATTTCAGCATTTTGGAGCTCCTTTCTTAAGAGGATTATTACTTTTTCTCCCTTTAACAGGTGCTAATTCACTCAATAATGGAAATTCAGTTCCTGTAGTGTTTGCATTTTTATTTTTGAAAAACCAACTATAAAGCAAAAGCACAGTTATACCTTAAATAATTTGTGATCACTGTCCACCAAATAAAAAGCTATTTGACTAATCTTTTCCCACAACTCGTGAATATAGAAAAAAATCATTCATCCCCTAAATTGTCACAACTTATTTAAAAAGTATTCTCTTTCAAAGGATCACTGCTTCAACTTGACTTACATAATAGCAGTTATATTTTTAGAGAAATCTCATTAGCAGTAATTACTTTTACAGAGATAAACAAAACAATTCTCTAGATACCATGAAGACATCATTTACCTTAACAAGAAGTTTTCAAAATAACTAAAGTTTTCAAAATAAAAACTTGAATTCAAATTAACTGTTAAAAAATCACCTTTTACCATCCAGGATTCAAGTAAAATGAAATTATAAAACAATACATATAATATGATCTTGCTTAAGTTAATAAAATATGCACATGGCTGGAATAGAAAAGGTTATAGGAACATTTTAATTTTCACTTTATATCCTTATCAAGAATCTGAATTTCTTATAATGAATATGGGTTATCTTTGCTATATTTTTTATCACTGAAGAAAAACATCTGGGTTATAATAGCAACAGCTGCAGTAAAAACAGGCTTACAATTGAGCCTAATTTAATCAAGCAAAATGTGGATCCAAATTGAGACTTTATTAATTTGAAGGTAAAATAAATACACATTTTTACCTGCTCTTAAAGGCTTATAGAGTTCGTTGGATGCTGTCCTTTGCCAGCGTTCCTTGAATTTTGATCTTAAATCATTGTCAGTTGCTTCTTCTTCATCCAACAATCTTAATGACTTTTAAAAAGAAAGAAAAGCAACAATAGATATCATTTCTGGTATAAAAAGCTAAATATTTTTTAAATGATCATACTCCAAGTACACGAAAATTAGTGAAATGGAACTATTCTTATATTACTGGTTAGAATATAAATTGGCACAACAATCTTTGTTGCAGAAATTCATGTTACAATGTATTTAATAAAAAAATCTTGTAAAAGGGCTAGGTGAGCCATTACTTTACTCAGTAAAATTAAAATGGAAGAATAAGTAAGGGTTTTTGTACATCCATATACCAAGACTACTTTAAACAAAGAATATTTTTAAGATAAAAATAAATAGAAAGCTTTTGGACCTTAGAAGCCATAAACAAAACAAAGAAAAAACTGATTACCTATATGAAATAAGATTTAGACTTCTATCCCAATAACACTCACTAAATACTTACATGTAAAAAATGTCTTTTTAATGCATAGCTGAAAAGACAAGATAGTAAAGTGCCAGAAACACAAGATAATAATTTACCAGTAGAAAAAAGTGTTAGAGCCAATGGTATTTGCTAATTCCTGACAGCTTAGAGCAGAAGTCTGCAAACTCTTCTGTCAAACACTACAGTAAATATTTTAGGCTTTGAAGCCCACAATCTCTATCCCATATTCTTCTTTTTCTTTTTTTTGCAACCCTTTTAAAATGGTTAAAAAAAAAAAAATCATCCTTCATTAGTGAACCTTACAAAACATACAAGCCAGAATTAGCTACTATCCTTAGTATGCCAGCTACGTAGTTCACTACTAGCTTAGAGTGTGAATTTAAAGAACACGAGTAGACACAAGAAACATCAGTGAAGACCCGGGGATGAGCGTCAACCTCCGGACCACAAAGTCAGAGTCTGATTCCCAGTCAGAGCATATGCCCGGGGTGTGAGCTTGATCCTCAGTGTGGGACATGCAGGAGGCAACTTGTCAATGAGTCTCTCTCATCAATGATATTTCTCTCTCACATTCTTCCTTTCCTTGTTCAGTATCAGTTATATCATATCACTTACATTATCATCACCATAGTAATATAATAGCAAAAGTAGAAATAGCTATACTTTATTAAGCACATATATACTGTGTGTCCCATAGCCTAGGCATGTCACTGTTTTAGTTTAGCCCCTCTTTTAAATAAGCCTAGGAGGTCAATATTCTCATCCTCCAAGGTTCACACCATCATAAGTACTTAAGTACTTTGGTCCTGCCCCAAAATACTTGGAAATGATGAAAATACAATATCCTCTGAAAGTTAACTGAAAAATCAGAACATCAGGGATGAAAGCATTGATAACAAAAGTCATGTAAGAGAGATGTGACTCCTTAATCAATAAAAAATTTGGGGGGGGGGGAATAAATATTATCCAGAAAGAAAGGGAATATAACCAGCTTGAATATAATTATAGCTGAAGAAAAAAATTTACCAATTAAAGAGTTAAAGGCAAAATAAAGGGAGAATAACATTGGCAAACTGTTGGCTTTAGCCAAAAAACTTTAGTGTTCCATTCCTATTAATAAAATGCCCTCTACTGGAAAATGGATACAGTGGATTTATAAAACATTTGATGACCTAACTTTCTTTAACTCCATGTTCACTAAGAAATCCAATCTATATATATTATCTATACATAAAAAAGGTTAATATGCAAAGTGTCCCCGCAGGAGTTCAACCGGGAGACCAGGAGTTCTATTGTTCACTATGATGTGCGCTGACCACCAGGAAATAGGGCAGAACGAAGGAAGGCCCTGGCCAGCAGCCAGCAGCCAGCAGCTCCCAATCGGCCCTGATCACTGACTGGCCAGGCCTAGGGATCCTACCCATGCATGAATTTTGTGCACCAGGCCTCTAGTCTTTAATATTAAAAAGTCATTAATTATGAAAACTTTGAGCAATTTCTGTGATAGTAACTTCTCATAGAATACTAATATTAAACAATGGTCATATGTTTCATTAATGTCCATTTACATACCCTTACAGATATGAATGAACCTATTCTCACTCAATTGAAATTCTTTTTGAGGCTGAAGTTTAAGCTCTGGCCCATATTAAATTCACCACAATGATGAGCACCTTCCTGTAAAACCAAACAGGAAAAAGCCTCCAGTACTAATCCTTGCTGGACAAGGAGTCAAACTATTTTATTTGAAAGGCAAACCTCAAAACATACCTCATCTAAGATTTCTCTATTTCTTTGTAATAGTTCAGGTAGCTCTTTGATCAACTGATCTACAGTCTGGATGCCACCCTGTTCAATCACAGATGTGGACTTAGTCAATATGGACTGAGGTACAGTATCTCCAGATACATCTTCAATTGCTGCTGGAAGATTAAGAGATGCTAACACCCTGAAAAAATAAAATACTATGTTACATAGAGGTCTAAACCACCTTAAAACATTAATCTCTTATATCCAAGTCAAAAGGAATGGAGTTACCATCCCAAAAGTAGATAAGCCTTATCAACATAAAAATAAAGGAAAAGAAAAAAAATAGGTGATTGAGGAAATTAAAACAAAATAATTAAAGAATTATTTAAATTCACAGTTAGAAATTAAAAGCCAAAAAGTAAGATATATACATTAAAATATACTAAATACCTTTGGTTGGTAGTTCTAACTTAGCTTCTTTCAGTCTAAGTAATTATAAGTCAAAAAATTTATCTTAAAAGCTATAATCTTTTTATTATACTGATTGTTATATTGTCACTGACAAATCAGAATACATAAGTTATAATTTCATATCACCTAGGCAAAATGTAAAGAGAACATAGTTGATCTAAGTATTAATTATAGAATCTTCATCTGTTCTCTGTTTGTAGCACAGTAACAATTATTCTGTTATTTCATTTATATAATAAAGGGAATGTTAAACTTATGTTTTTCTTGCTAGAAAAAGAAAAATGAGGTCAAAATCCATACATTCATTAAAATAAAAAACATGAAAAAGCAAACAACTAGGAGAAAATATTCTTAATTACATACATCTGACAAAGGACTTGCTTCTAAAATATGTAGAGTTCATCAAAGATTAATAAGAAGAAAAACTCAGTCTTAAAAATTAGCAAAATATGTCAACGGACACATCACAAAAGATATTATGAATGGCTAATAAATAAAAAGTTGCTCAACATCTTTATTAATCAGGAGAATGAAAAGTCACGAGACACTAGAGCAACATTTCTCAAACAGTGCAGGTGGGATAAACTGGAACCTCCACTTTGGAAAATAATCTATTCATTTCATATGAAGTTAAACATACACTAACCATACAATTAATCTATTTTATTTATCCGAGAAATAAAAGATGTCAACACAAAGACCTGTTGATGTTTACCACATCAACAATCTAAAATGTCCATTCTCAGGTGAAAGAATAAACAGACTGACATTTGATCATAAAATGAAATAATGTTCAGAAATAAAAAGGATCAAAGTGATATCCACAACATATTATATATTAATCTCAAAAACATTATGCTAAGTGTATTATAAGATACCCAATACACATTTTGATTATATACTATAGGTGCCTATCTATACTGTAGGTATTACTTATGTAATAATACTGTACTACACTATGTACTATAAAAAGCATACTCCACATGTTATAATAATTACATTTACATTAAATTATTTAAAAAGAAAAATTATAATGACAGGGAGTGCTATAGACAGTGGCTAGGAGTCAGGGGAAGAGAAACTGAAGGGAAAGAAAGAGGCATGAGGGTGTATTTAGGGTGAAGGAAATGTTCTCTGTCTTGATCGTGGAAATGATGATGGTTACAAGGGTATTCACATTTATCAATAGAAACGAACTATACATTTAAAATGGATGTACTTCACTGAATTAAAATTATACTTAAGATTTTTTTAAAACCAATGAATCTACCAGAAACAAAACAGGTTCAGAGTACTCAATATACTCATTATCTTAACTTAAAAATTCATTTCTACTTCTCATTTTCCTCAAATAAATACCAATTAGTGGTCAAACATTTTCACTTTGTTTCAGTAATTAAGTTTCTTCCAACTAGTGGGGCTTAATAACTATAGGGTCCCCAAGAAATGTGTGTTTATTTGCTATTTCACTTATCTTTGACATTCAGTTCCAAGGTCAGAAAGTAAAATGTTCATGAACTATTTAAAGAACAATCAAACAGAAAACATTGGAACCTTAGATATAAATTTATGAAAGATAAGTTCTACCTACCCATTTGCCAAATTGGTTGCTTCTCTCATTTGAGCAATTGACCTGTTAACTAAATCAGCTTTCCTCTGGTTATAGGCAGCCAAAGCCTGCTGCACTGACACAGGAACCATCTTCTCAAACAGATCTGCAATTAAAAATGGAAATGTCAACACAATTTTGAGACAAAACTCAAATTATATAGTGACTGTTCGTATTTCCTTTCCAATGTTTATATAAAAAGTCTACAAATACTTAAAGGTAAAACTAAATCACTACTGAAAGTACAATGATGGGCAATAACAATGAAAGCTTTTTCTCTGAACTTAAATTTCTTACCTTTTAGATGTGCTTCACTGAACTAAAGGAATCTTTGGTGAAGAAGAGCTAATCATAGAAAACACTTCACTTGTTTTGGTCTACTGTGCCATGCATGGTTCAATTTCCAGCTCTATCACTTTCTAACTATGCAACCTTGGACAAGGTAATCACTGTGCATCAGTATCCTCATCAATCATGTGGGGATAATAAAAGTAACTAGCTCATAGGATTGTTGTGAAAAATAAATAAGCTAATATTTGTAAAGTGCTTAAAAGAGTTCTTGGCACATGGTAAACACTTCGTGTTTATTAAATAAAAATAAGTAAAATAATCACCCTTTCCCAATAACTTAGAATATTATCTTTAGGATCTCAGCTACCAAACACTGTATATACCTACAATACCCAAGCATACTGTAATGTATTTATCTGACACAATCATTATTTTTAAGAGACTCCAGACTTGATAGGTTTGAAGTTATATTTATGAATATTTATTTTTAATGGCAGAATCTTCAATAATATAACAAATGTTAAAATGACAACTGCTTAAAGTTTTTATCATTACTCAAATGCAGTTTCAAGTTTTCTGACTCTGTTGTATACTTTACATATCCTTCATTGACATCTTTTCCATTTAAAAATTGCCCTGTAGCCGGGTCCGGTTTGACTCAATGAATAGAGCGTCGGCTTGGGGTTCGATTCCGGTCAAGGGCATGTACCTTGGTTGCGGGCACATCCCCGGTAGGGCATGTGCAAGAGGCAGCTGATCGATGATTCTCTTTCATCGATGTTTTTAACTCTCTATCTTTCTCCCTTCCTCTCTGTATAAAATCAATAAAATATATTTTTTTAAAAATTGCCCTGTAGATATAATAATTTTTATTCTTATATTCATTTTGAACAATCTGAATGCAAAGTATATTCAGAGCATACAATAGCAACTTTGTGATTTTAGGCTACTAAAAAAAAAAAAAAAAAAAACAGATTAAACTGGAGAAAAGATGCGTAAGATTAAACTACAACTAAATTCTTGACATACCAGTGAATTTCTGGCTAATGGGTACATTGACTGGGGTAGATTTCACAAGTGTGGCTTTGCCAATAGGATCTAGATCTTTGAGGTCTGGAACTCGATCATGATATATGAAGTCATTATCCTTCTTTGCTGCAGTAAGGGCACGGTTGATTTTGTCTGAAAAATCCTTCACGTTGACATATTCATCATAGCGAGATGCCACTGTTTTAATCAATTCTGCTGCATGCTAAAAAGAAAATGTTACAAAATAATAATAATGTTTATTTTTCTCAACCAAGCATTGGTTTCTTTTTTAAATAAAGAAAAAAAAAAAACCTAATTTGAGATTTTGAATTTTCAGCAATGTGGTCAACAGATTAACCTAGAAATTCTCTCTTCACAAATTACCCCAAAATTTAAGAATACATAAACATACCTTTAAACACGTGTGAATTACCAAGAAAATAAAGGAAACCTATGGACCACTAAGTATAACCTGGCATTGAGAATCTAAATAATAGTGATCAAAGTTGATTCCTAGACAAATGAAATATGTTTGTTAATCTCGGTTTTGTTAAAAAAAAAAAAAAAAAAAAAAGTGTGCTTTTCTCTGATTGTGTCACGGTGGGTTATAATACCAGCATACATTTTATTTTTCATAAGTCTGGGTTCCTTTTTTCATGAAAAGACTAATTTGTGTGAACTTCCTAAATGATACTCGCATAGTATCTTCTAATATCCAGGCCATTTTAAAATTTCCTTATCTTCTTACCCTTTGCTTACCAATACTCAAAAATACAAACAACTAGCAATAAACAGTTCTTATTCCTGCTGAAAAGTTGCCCAGATGTCACAGCAAGTTTCTGACAACCCCAATGCCTACCATATAGATACAACTGCATAGAAAGTACTCTGCTTTTTACAGATGTACTTATATTACCACTGTCCTTCTTAAGCTAAATTTATATGCTCCAAGGCTAGGCACTGTACAATCCTTTCTGGAGTCTGGTAATTAATTTAGAACATTTTATATTAAAATAAGTATGGTAAATTTTGCATGAAATTTTTTAGGGTTTATTTTTTGTTGTTTTGTTTTTGCATGAATTTAAATAAAATATGAGATTTTAAAAAGCATGCAGCAGGTAAAGTCTATAAAAGCACTTGTCTCCATTGATGGGGCAATGAGTAGGAATGATTTTCATGAGCAAACTTGGGAATCTCATTAAGAAAGTAAAATGGCCCTAACTAGTTTGTCTCAGTGGATAAAGCATCGGCCTGCAGAGTGAAGGGTTCCATGTTCAATTCTGGTCAAGGGCATGTACCTTGCGGGCACATCCCCAGTAGAGGGGTGTGCAGGAAGCAGCTGATTGATGTTTCTCCCTCATCAATGTTTCTAACTCTCTATCTCTCTCTCTTCCTGACTATAAAAAATCAATAAAATGTATTTTTTTAAAAACACAGATTTAAAAAAAAAAAAAAAAAAACTGTCCTTATAAAAAAAGAAAAGAAAACTGGAGATCCAAGTTATTTAATATTTATTTCTAAGAGACTCACCTGTAACCTTGCAATCTCTTCACCAAATTTCTTCTGCTGTTTTGCCAGGATAGACTGATGGTACTCAGCATTGGCCTGCATGATACAGTGCTTGGCAGCCAAGACAGGAAACACCTCCTGGAAATAAAAATACTGACCAGGGAAGAGTCCAACCACACAAACCACCACAGACAACATGGGATGCAGGAAGAAAAAGGAAAAGGAGACAGAAATTAGAATTACCCCATTAATAGTTTAGAGATAGGTTAGTCAGGTGTAAACAGAGAAGACCACATGATTTTGCATGGGTTGAATTCAATCGTTTGAATTTTTTTCTTCCAATTAGAATGAAGGGGTGGATTATTGTTTTTTTTTACTTTTAAGTGAAGTCAATTCAAATTTTTACAATTCTCTTTAATCGAGCCATGAAGTCAACATTTTGTTTACAAAGAAGAAAGGAAAGCATGCATTAGAAAGAGAAGTAGAACGGACAGCCAAAGGAACAGCAAGCACAAGGCTTTAGAAGCTTTCTTATGAGCCCTTTTCCGGCCATTAGAGTCAACTAAAACGATTACTCACATACACTAACGAAATTGCTCTATAGCTGACTGTTTCATGTTTAAGAGACAAAAGACAGTAAAGTAAGTTCCCACTTATACTCATATCCTAAGACTTTTTAATAAAGATGATTTTTAGCCAAATAAAAATTCAGTATCATATAACAACATTTCAGTATCATATACTCAAAAACACACAGCAAACAGACAAATGAACTAAAGTTAATAACTAATATGATTCAGTATTATTCTGCCTAATCTGCCTTTAAAAAAAAAAAAAAAAAAAAAAAAAACCTGCATTCAAAATTAATTGTAAAAGATCCAAAAACATGAACCTGGGAAGCAGTTATAAGGTTACCGGCTCTTCTAAAATGTCAAATCCTAGCCTGCAGTCTTATTGTTTTTAGGCAGTACATGTCATATAAAATCTAATAACTATACTAGACAAGCACTGTGCAGACAATAAATAAATGAATGAATGAATGAGAAAGACATTGAAAAACTGACATTATTATGTATGTCCTTTCCTGTCTCCCAATGAATAATATCCTAGATTCCTGGATCATTATTTGTAGACATTTCAGTTTTACAATTAAAATATGGTATATCTGCCGAAACCGGTTTGGCTCAGCGGTAGAGCGTCAGTCTGCGGACTGAAAGGTCCCAGGTTCGATTCCGGTCAAGGGCATGTACATTGGTTGCGGGCACATACCCGGTGGGGGGTGTGCAAGAGGCAGCTGGTCGATGTTTCTCTCTCATTGATGTTTCTAACTTTCTATCCCTCTCCCTTCCCCTCTGTAAGAAAAATCAATAAAATATATTTTAAATTAATAAATAAATAAATTAATTAATTAATTAAATATGAGATATCTTATGGGCTTTATTAGAAAAAATGCAAAAATAAAGGACACCTAAATCTCAAACTGCACTCATGCCAGTTCTCAAAGTAAGGTTGGAGCAACAGGAATTTCGAGAAATTCCAAGAATGCTGCAAAGTAGTTTCCAAGTCTTTGTAGGTGACATTCTCTCCATGACAAGACTGAACTAATGGCCCAACAGGATGTAACGGTACACGGTAAGCTGAACATGAGGTCTTTCCAATGAAAAAGCGGTGAGAAGGGATCCCAAGTTTCTTTTTAAGAGTAATTTTATTAATATCCAAGAGTCCTGGGCAACTTTCCACTGATACCTTGGTGTATTTTAAATTTCTAGAAATCTTCACATTGGACATTTTCTGACTAAACTAACATGTTCTATTGATGAACTTATATGCTCTTTTTTACTCCACCACAAAACTGTCTGCAACTTCATACTTTTAAAAAATTCCTGAATGATTTATTAATAAACTCCGCTACGAGACCATGTGACAAATACCATGAGCTATCATACAGACAAAACTAATTCCTTGAACATTTCTGAAAAAGTAACAGAATTATATACCACATTTCACTCAATCTGTTTCCCTTTCTAACCATTCTAAATTTACCTGTTAGTCTAATAATCTGCTTTGTCCTTTCAAATGATCACACTGACTAGTCATTTCACACTCACATGCCACTTCAGAAAATTTTACATTAAAATAATACTTCCTGCAATAAATATGTGGTTTAAAGATGGTTGTTTTCCTTAGCTGTTCAACAGCAGCCCAATTTTTTATTCCTGTTGACAAAATGTAATTCTAATAAAATTATTGGCGGAATTTGTTTCCTTTTCCTTTTTCTTTATGTCTGTTTTTGCACTTTTAGACTCATCTTTAAGAAAACAGGACAATAATTAAAAGTGTGAATAATCAACATGCTCACATATTCATGCTTGTTGTACCAAACCATCGATGAATCAGAAGTACACAATGCCCTTATTTGATAAAATTATTGGAGACAGTTATTTAAAATTTTCCAGGAAGAGATTTAGCTTGGAAAAACAAGTTTAGTGAAGAGCAAAGGCAAAGACATCCCCTCAATATAAAATAAATTTTCATGCATCTTAAATAAAAAAAAAACATTTCTACAAATATATTCTTTAAATGCCTCTCCTCAATTTTCAAATCTTTATAAAACATAATTTTCAACTTGCTTCTTGTACACAGTATCCAAATATTTCCACATGCAAACAGCCAAGTGGGTATAAAAATGATAACTGACCTTAGGGAGAGTATCTTTATACTGACACTGCTTGAAAGCATCACCAAAATAATCTGCAGCCTGATTCGCCAATTTAGCTATGATGGCATCTTTCATTTTATCTGTAATAAAATATGAAATTGACCATTATAATTAAAGTAATCTGATATATCGTGATTGTACATGTCTTTAAAAATCCTTATTGGGCCGAAACCAGTTTGGTTCAGTGGATAGAGCGTCGGCTTGCGGACTGAAAGGTCCTGGGTTCGATTCCGGTCAAGGGCATGTACCTTGGTGGCGGGCACATCCCCAGTGGGGGGTGTACAAGAGGCAGCTGATAGATGTTTCTCTTTGATCGATGTTTCTAACTCTCTATCCCTCTCTCTTCCTCTCTGTAAAAAAAATCAATAAAATATATATTTTTTTTAAATCCTTATTGGTGAAATCAATTCATCTGCATGAAATTTAATTATTTCTCAGGCAAATACAAAGAGTCAGAAAATAGTTCAGTGGCTGTCAGGAGGTAAGGGAGAGGGAATAGAGTGTGCTTGCCAGTGGGTATGAGGTTCTTTTGGGGATAATGATAATGTCTTAAAATAAGACTGGTTACAGTCACAAAACTCTGACTACACTAAAAAACCAATAAAGTATGTATTTTAAAAGGATGAATTTTACTGTATAGGAATTCTATGTCATATGGATTCCACATGACTGTTTCCTTATTTTTAATTTCTCTGTACTTACATATTTAGCCTATTCCAATCTGTTATACTAAATTACATGCCTTGTAAGAATTAATCGTATTCCCTCATTCACAGAGCCAGGGATTCTGCTAGGCTCCATCTTGTCAGGTGATGTCGATGAAATGAGATCTCAATGGTACTCTTCTATACTAATGAATTTAAAATTAGTATGACTGCCCCTCCATCCTTACCCCACAGCCAGATCAGACCACCAGGCATTATCCCATCTTATTTTCTTTAAAGACATTATCTCTCTTTACCTGAGCCAGTTAATTTCTTATTTATTATCTCCCCAACTCTAAAATATAAGCTTCCTGAAATAAGGAATCTTGCTTGTCTTCTAACTCTATTTACCTAGAGCTTAGAGCAGGGACTAGAACACAGAAAGTACTCAATAAATATTAGCTAAATGAATGCATTTTTTGACATATTACAAACCTATGTAAACATTACTTCAGAGTTCAATGTTTTAAGACAATAGCTAACTATCCATTTTATAAAAGATTGCAAATACAACTTACATTCTTAAATGCATATTGTACCACCTTAAGTTCAAAAACGGAAAGCTGAAAATTTTCAATAACGCATGTTTCAAGTTCATGCTCTACACTGAACATGTTATATTTTAATCGTCTTCTAATTTTAAAAACCTATCACTTATTTTCACATGCAACAAAATGACAAATTGGAATTACCTCTTGTGGCCTTTAAAAAAAAGACTTCTTGGGCCTGTGCCAGCATAATAAGACTGAGGGTCCCAACAGTATCTGGAGATATGTCCACAGTAGGTTCCCGATTTAAGGCAGATAAAACCGTCTCTTTAATGTGTAAAAAGGCACCACTAGCAAACTAGAGGGGGGTGAAAAGAATTTCTTTAGAATTTATAGGAACTCAGCAAGACTTAATTTTCTAATGTTAGACACAAAATTATTCTAAATGTTAACTCAGTTGAATACTTATTTAAATTTTATATTGTACAAAGTAGCTCTAAAACATCTGACCTACAGACAATAAGGGTATTTTTTCTAAAATACTATAGAATAACAAGAAATTTAATGAAGATACAAAGTCACTTGTAACAAAAAAAAATTATATTAACAGGACAAATTGAGTAAGCTTATTTTTAGATATACTTCCTCAAAACTAATATGAGAATAAAGGCAGAGATAAAATACTAAAATGTTTTTAGTACTGAATGCACTTGGTTTGGTCTCAAACAAATTCATTTCTCAAACAATTAAACATATATACTTAAGGAAGCCTCAAATATTATAGTACAGATGCCTAGTCCTCTGAGGGACAGCATTACCATCCAATGCTAATGATTTCTATTTGACTCTCAGAGCCCCTTGGTGAAACACTGACCATCAGATTTGTCTTCTCATTTATATTTTTCTAAGATTAACACTGAAATCACTTTGCTCTCATGAAACAAATGATACTAGTAAAAAGAAAGAAGTCTGCCTGGGATTTAAAGGTTTGGTGGATTACACAGATAAGCTATGCAGAGATAACAAAAGGTTAACTGTTTCAAGTGAAAATGATGCTTTCTGCAATCATGAAGTATCGTAAAACTAGAGTACCTGCAGAGAGTGATCAGCTGACCCTGCCTAGTAAACAAACAGAATCACAGACTAGAACAGCAAAGAGTCCAGTCTCTCATTCACAGATACGAACTGGAGGCCTACAGCAGTTAAAGAAGTTAGACAGGCCATGCAGCTCTTGGTGGCAAGCAGCCTAGAAAAGAATCTAGTAGTACAATTAGTTATCTTTTCATCAGTAGGTGTCCTGCTGTGAAACACAGAAGTGACTCACAGAATGGAATGTGTCCTCAATAATTCAGAATGCCCTCTAAAAGCTCACATGCCAGTTAACAATTACAACTAATAGAAAACTAAATAGAAATTTACTTCATTACTGCATTTTAAAACATTTGCCATTTATGGCCTCAAAAAGAAAAGGAACAAATGCATTATCTGATTGTATGGTAAGCAACAACATGGAGTACATTGTTTGCTTAAAGTGTGCTATCCTCTCACTTTTCTAAAACGGCATTCCTCGCCTCTCCCCTAAACTTCAACAATGGGAAAAATCAGACTCCACCTTTGGGAGACACTGGAAGGACCATTTGGAATTCCATTAAATTTGGTTGGAATCAGGACACCTGGAACTCCAATGCACCACTTTATTAACACTTCTGCCCTTAGTCTTCCTGTTTGTAAAATGAGAATGACATTATATAACATGCCTCACATGGTTTACCTGAGAGTCAAATAATGTATATGAAAAAACTCTGAAATTTATAAAGTAACATAAAGCATGAAAACAAAAATATAGATATTACCACTTAACAATAATCACTTATTGTTCTTTAAATTAAAACAAAAAAAATTAAAGCTGAATAACAATTGCCACAAAAATCATAAGCCTTATTAGTAAATATAGTATAGCATTACATATCTGACCACATTTAAATATGACCTCTCCACAAGTGTCAAAGTTAAACTTTTCTTGCTAAGAGGTCTTAAGTTTTGTGACTTGTGTGAAACTATACAAGTGTCTCACTATAAGAAAAAATATTAAAATAAAATGTACAAAAATTTTTAATGAGTTTATTTCATACATTTCATAATTTGAACCTAATTTATTGAGCCATTATGTGCCAGGCACTGTGCTAGGTGCTGGGTATACAATGGTGAGGAAAATGAGAACTGGTTTATAGTATGTAGCTTATCTAAGAACCTCAAAAATATAAATCAATTCATTAAAAAATGTGCTACTTTCCAAGAAAATATCTGTGTGTATAAAAATGTCTGTAAACCTAAATGCAAATTATTTTCAATTTAATCCAACTTAGTGTTGATCATTATGTAGTAACTACTGTTCTGCATACCTGGTAATGCTTAGCAGCGATTTTCAATCCTTCATCATTATCCAGGTTCTGTTCTGCTGCAATTTGGCTAGCTAAGGCTGCACAATTGAACAACACACAGCTCTTTTCATATCCTAAGCTTGCAAGAGCTGTAAAAAATTGAGAAGGAAAATTTATCAGATTATTTTTTTCTAAAGAAAATTAATGTTTCAAAGAGAAATAATATCATCTCTATCCCATTGCCTCTCACAAAAACAAGTTTCCAGACCTGTTTTCTCATTCATCAGAGGCTCCCATATTGATGGCTGCCCTGCAAGGCATTTATTTTCATAACAATATTCCCATTATCTAAAATTCAACAAATCAATATGTTATTCTTTCCTTCCCTGTAAGTCCACACTGTTAGTAGTCAGGTTCAAAATGAGAAGTCATTTTCACATCATTTCTCACTTAAATTCAAATACATTATTTCTATTTTTCCATCACTTCTCTAAAAAATATATCTTCCCACCACATTTAAACCAATTCCTCATTACTACAAACCTAAGCAAATGCCAGAACCTCCTAGCTGACCTTCCATGCCTCATTTCATTATGCCAATACATCTCAAAGACTAACAAATTATTCAAAATACAACTTTGATCAATAATCTACAGGCCTCACATCCACTTAAGTTACCATAAAAAAAATTTTGTTTTTTAATTTAAAAAAAAAAACACAGCCCGGCAGGCATGGTGCCGTGATTAAGGGGACAACCTATGAACCAGGAAGTCACAGCTCAAACCCAATCAGGGCATATGCTAAATCCCAGTGTGGGGGGCGCAGAGGCAACCAATCAATGATTCTCTCTCACCATTGATATTTCTATCTCCCTCTCCCTTCCCACGCTGTAGACTTTTATTTTGACACTAGAGGCCTGGTGCACAAAATTCATGGATGGATAAGGTCCCTAGGCCTGGCCGGCAATCAGGCCCTCCTCCCTGCCTCTGTGCCTCCTCCTTCCCTCACTACCTGCTCATGTAGCCACCTCTCACGCAGCCACTACATGGTTCCCTGCCTCCCCACCTCCCACCTCCCTGTCTCCTCTTTCCCGCACTCCCTTAGCAGCCCACTGCCGCCACTGGTCACCCGCCATGTCCCATGGCAACCCCTGGTGATCAGCACACATCATAGCAAGCGATTAAACTCCCTGTCTCCCAGTTGAACTCCCAAGGTAACAATTTGAATATCAGCCTTTTATTATATAGGATTATTATATAGGATTTCTTATGTATAAAATACTGTGTGAAAACTATTTTTCCTTAGAACTAAATATTATTTTTTTTCCTTTATGATCTCTCCTATCAGACCGAAACACAAATCAGGTGGTTTTTTAAAAAATAAATATTCAATTCTCCTTCCTTCAAATAGCTCTTTTTCTTAATATTCAACTTGTCCCTATTTTAACCTTTGCTCTTTAGATATATATGTATTTTGGCTCGGTGGATAGAGCGTCAGTCTGTGGACTGAAGGATCCCAGTTTCGATTCCAGTCAAGAGCACATGCCTGGGTTGCAGCTTGGTCCCCAGTGGGGGGGGGGGGGGGGGTGCGGAAGGCAGCCAATCAATCATTCTCTCTCACCATTGATGTTTCTGTCTCTCTCTCCCTCTCGCTTCCTATCTAAGATCAATAAAAATGTTTTTTTTTAAATATGTAAGAAGAAAGAGTACAAAACTCACAAGTATACTATTTATAACTTCACAATCTTCTTTCCAATGTCTTCTCCTTCCATAACCCTCAACTCAATCTATGGTTTCAAGCCTTAACAATGTTTAGTATTATACTAACATGTATTGGATGTAATTTATAGTGAATAATACTGTTATGTAATAGTACATAGCATATATTCTACAATACATATGTAGTATATATAACATATATATGGTTATATGTAATATTAACATTCATTGCAGCTCATATTTACTGAGCACTATTGTAAGGACTTTACATAAATTCACTCATTTAATCCACACCAAAACCCAATGAGATAAACAGTACTTCACAGTACTATTCCCTACTTCACACAGATGAGAAAATTAAGGCACAGAGAGGTTATATGCTGAGCTAGCAGATAAAAAAGCCTCACTCTTCTAACCTTTGATTAAAATGTTCTAGCTATAATGATATTTTCTATCTGGAAAAACCAAATTCACCCTTCAAAGGCTAACTCAAACACTGCTTACTTTCAACAGACAGAATTAACTTCCTCATCCATTAACTTCCTCAGCCTTGTTCATAGGCTGATCAACTTTCTTCCAATCAGTTTGAATACAACTGTCTTATTCACTTTTATAACTAGGACAGTGCCTGGCAAGGCATAGGCTCTCTACAAAATTTTTTAAATTCCATTAAAAGTTGATGTTGAAAAAAGAAAAGAAAATGTAAAAATGTTTCTTATTTTAAAAGAATCATTACAAGAGCAATTTTTAAAACCTAAAACAAAGTATTTAGACTAAGTTTCCCATCATTTATTATCAAAAAATTACATACCCAACTTTACAGACCCTCCAAAAAGTGAGCCTTTATCAAAAGCATCTTTCCAGGTAAATGTCAAGCAGATCTTGATAAAGAGAAAACAGAAGATTATGTTACCTTCTTGAACCTCATTAATATTAAGTCTCTTTCAGAGAAAAATTCACAATAAGGAAAAAGACAAAAGTTTCAACCTATCTAAAACATTATCTTCTCTAACCAATCAAGTCCTTTTCCTTTCTTAGTCATAAATTTTTTTTTTAAGTAAAATACTGGCACTAAGTTATTTCAATCGGTCACTCTGCTTCAGTAATTGTACACATATTGTCTTCTCCAAAACACACAATCTTATTCATCTTTATAAACACACAATGGATTGAGCAGAATATGAACTTAATTGTCAAATAAGCCAAGAGAAGCACAGGTTTCTACTACAGGTTTCCCAGAGTAAAGTAAGTACTACAGGTTTCCCAGAAGATAAAATAAAAACTATTCTATGATGACAAAAGTAAGAGAATGTTTATCTTTGGTGAATGGCATTAAGATAATTTACTTCTTGATTTGAGTAGTAGTTATACATGTACATTCACTTTACGAAGATTCAAGCTATACACCTATTTTCTCACTTTTCTGTATGCATGTTATACATAAAGAGTTTCTGTCATAAATTTTAAAACACTGCATCTCATGCTTCTAAAATATTCTGCATATGATGATTTAAAAGAAGTTAGCCTCTTTTAAATTATGTGCTGCAATCTAACTTTTTAACTCTAGGTTAGAGTATTTTCAATATATACAAAACTAGAGAGAATAACATAATGAACCCCCAATACACCTATCACCAGTTTTTAGCCTTTTGCCTTTCTTAGTTCATCTACCTCCACCCCTTTTCCCTGTCCACCCACCTCCTACCCCAAACACTCACATACTTTTTTTTTTTAATATATTTTATTGATTTTGTACAGAGAGGAAGGGAGAGAGATAGAAAGCTAGAAACATCGATGAGAGAGAGTCATCGATCAGCTGCCTCTTGCACACCCCCTACTGGGGATATGCCCGCAACCAAGGTACATGCCCTTGACCGGAATCGAACCCGGGTCCCTTCAGTCCCCAAGCCGACGCTCTATCCATTGAGCCAAACCGGTCTCGGCACATACTTTTTAAAAGTAAATAAACTAAAACTAATACTTCCTGAATTAGTTTCTCTCTTAATTGTATAAAAGCCAAAGGGAAGAACACTATCAATTAATCAGTCAATAGTGGACATAAAACATAGTTAAATATATATACAGAAGTTAGTGAGGAATGACATGAATAGAATCCTAGGAAACATTCTTCAAAAAGAAATAAATTCGTATCAGATGGGCCTAAGCTAATTAAAAAAAAAAAGTCTCATAAAAACCTAAAGATAATGAACAGACACCGTTTATTTTAATAAAATGATACCATGAGTGGGAGGAAATGGGTGACTTGCCATTATCATATAACTTTACAAATTAAACAAATGACTTACCTGATTTTCAGAAAATGGGAACTTAGGTTCAATGGAACAAATCTGATCATAATATCTAAAACACAGAGCAAAAGTTAAAATTAGCAGAGTTAAATATTATGCACATTTATGTAAATACAACTGGTTAAAGAGTACACCAACATTATTCACGCTTACCTTGAGTGGACCACAAATTAATCAGCCATTTTGAAGTTTCTAAACATAATCTTTTAATGTTTAACCAAAAGCTAAATGCATGCAGTGAAAAAACTGAACAAAATCTCATCCTCCCTCCAAAGAAAAATACTTATCAACTATTATTACCTATAGGCAAATATCTAAACAGAAAAACCAAAGCATTTCTTATTAGGATAACTGGTCATATCCATTGAGCATATTAATATCTCTGGTAAACTGCTCAGTAAGAACAGGTGTGCCAATTTTTAAATATGTTTTGGGGCCCTAGCTGGTTTTGCTCAGTGGATAGAGCATCAACCTGTGGACTGAAGAGTCCCAGGTTCGATTCCAGTCAAGAGCACATACTGGGACTCATCTCCAGTAGGGGGTGTGCAGGAGGCAGCCAATCAATGATTCTCTCTCATCATAACTGTTTCTATCTCTTCCTCTCTCTCTCTTCCTCTCTGAAATTAATAAAAATACATACTTAAATGTGTTTTGGGTATGCGCACTTCTGTCCATCTTCACCACTGCCACACAATTCATCAAAGCTACTACTTTCCCTTCAAGGTAGTCTAATCCGTTTCCTGGTCAACCTGTCTCATTTTCTCCTTTCTCATTCTTTTCTTTTTCTTCTTCTTTTTATTTTTATTTTTAATCCTCACCCAATGATATGTTTTCTTGATTTTTTTTGAAAGTGAGACAGAAAGAGAGAGAGGGAGAAACATCGATATGAAAGAGAAACATGGATCAGTTGCCTCCTGTAAGTACCCCAACCAGGAACCAAACCTGCAACCTAAGTATGTGCCCTAACTGGGAATCAAACCTGCAACATTTTGGAACACACCAACCAAATGAGCCAGGGCTTTTCTCATTCTTTTCAATATATTCTCTACAGAGCAGCCAGAATGATCTTCAAATATGAAGCAATCTAGCCCTAGCTGATATGGCTCAGTGGATAGTTTCGGCCTATGACCTAAGGGTCCCCTGGGTTCGATTCCGATGAAGGGCACATGCCCAGGTTGTGGGCTCGATCCTTACTGTGAGGTGTGCATGAGGCAACCAATCAATGATTCTCTCTCCTCATTGAAATTTCTCTCTCTCTCTCCCTCTCCCTTCCTCTCTGAAATCAATAAAAATGTTAAATATATACACCTATATTAATAATTGTGTAATATGCATATTAGTCAGGACGACGTCACAGTAACAACCGATCAGCAGGCTGCATGCAAAGCAGGTGTGGGTGGGTGGGGACAGGGGCAGGGCCATGGCAGAGAGGCCTCTACACACTCCTGTGTCAGAGGTCTACAGGTGTGCGAAGAGGCCTCCGCTGAGGGCCTGGCTAGGGGGCCGGAGGCACGTGGCCCCAGCCAGGGGTCCGCAGGCCTCTGCTGTGGCCCTCCGGAGACAGGGGCCATGGCGGGGGCCTCCGTGCATCTGCACTGGCGGTCCTCTTCAGGGTGAGCCATCGAGGAGCCACAGATGGGTGGGCGGGGCCTACCTCTTAGGGGCAGTGGATGTCAGGACTTCAGCACTGTGACAGGGCACAGGCCATGCTTGGGGGGTCCCCCCCCCACACCAAGAGTATGAATTTCGTGCACTGGGCCACTAGTATATATATAAGCAGTCTCCCCCCTTTCAACCCCCCCCACCCCCGCATCAGTGTAACCTTTGAGCTAGCAAAAGGGATGAGGAGGTATCCAAAGCCAAGCATTCTAACTGGCCTCTAATCTTTCCTCCTTCCCTTATCATCTCCTAGCCCTCCACCCCTTCATGAGGACTATCTTTCCAAAGGTTATTTCTGAGGTCAGTTTTTTGAGGAAGGGCAACGTGCCTAAGATCAAGTTGCTGGCACGGCCATAATTTTGATTACAAGCAAGAAGAACTGAACAGTTAAGTAAATACACTGAAGATAATAGGAGCCAGGTTTCTAAATATCAGAGAAAGGAGTTACTATCAAGGAGAGAATAAATTCTATGGCTTTGGACCGGAATTAGAGGTATCAATATGAATTTACTTTTTAATATAGTAGAAAAATATACAAAACAGGTGTAGGGGATTTATGTGTGTATATTTCCTAAATGTGTATGTTGAGGGGGTCCAGAAGCAATAAGTAAACTTAATGCTCAAATAATGCTCTCCAATAAAAGGAGCCAGTGCTCCTTAGACATGTGAGTGACTCCATGGCTGAGACTGAGAAAATTGAAGACTCAAGCCTAAAACATCTTGCTATGCCAGAAAGTTAAGGAAGTATTTTTAAAAATATGAGAACATGTCAAAAGGACACAGGAATTAGCTTTAATGGGCTCTCACTAGTCAAGTCTAGAAAAATTTAAATAAAGTAACAAATCATAACCCATTCAGGAAATGAAGAACATTATTCTGAAGTATATATGAACAAATGGACAGGAAAAGCTTTACCCTACTGTACAATGCCAACTAATAAATGTAGAAGAAATAATGGAGTTAGGAAAATCATCATTTGACACTTTCAGAATATAATGCCTGATTCAGGTAAGAGTCACAATGGATACTAAAACAAAAGTTTGATGAAAATAGGATATTGCATACATAGTCTCAAAGTATCTTCCCACAAAATACTTCGTAATTAGCATAACACACTTATAATTAATTATAAGGTTAAGAAACCTGGGAAATACCACCTTAATCAAGTGATGAAAGTTAACATTACCAGCAATAGGACAAATCAAATAGTGTTCTTCCAGAAAGGCACTAAAAAGAACACAGCATCACTTTGGTGGTACTACTGCCCCAAAATTTATGAATCATGAGAAAATATGAGACAAATCCCTATTGAGCAACATTCTACAAAGTAACTACCCTATACTCAAAAATGTCAAGGCTGCAAAAGACAAGGGAAAAATTGAGGAACTGTTCCAGATTAGAGAACTAACTAGAGAGATAACAATTAAAAGCAATGCAGGATCCTGAACCTATAAACATTACTGAGAGAATCAACAAAATTTTAATGAATTCTATGAATTAAATGGTAATAATCAATGTTAATTTATTGATTTTGAAAGTTGTACTGTGGTGATTATATAGGAGAGTATTCTTATACTTAGGAAACAAACACTGAAGTATTAAGTACTCAAACCTATAAGGAAGTCCCGTTATTTTTAAAACTATATCCAAAAATGTGATAAGGTCTGGCATTGCCTGGCCATCATTCAACACTCTCAAAGCCTCATCTCAGAATATTCCCTGTGCATTATAGTCACTAACGTCTGTGCTCTCTCTTGGCCCTAAGCTTTCACACATTTTTTTTACTTTTTTCCTCCCTTCTCTACCTGGAAACTTTTCCCATCACAATTTCCCACCTTTCTTATCTAGGCTGACATGTCATCAAAGAAGCCTTTCCTCATTCATCCATCCAACAAATATATACTAACAGCTTATAAAGCAACGAGCACAGTTTTAGGAAATTGGGATGTTCTAACACTTTTGGGGGTGAGGGTGGGAAACAAACAACCTAAGTTAAAATACAGTATAGTAGGTAGTGATAAGTACTATGGAGAAAAACAGATGTAAGAGGAATAAGGTGTGTGTCTATCTTTGCATCCTTCACTTTGATTAGCACACTAACATCAATAGTGCTAACATTATCTCAGCATCTTCACCCTCAAACAAAGAATCAGAATGTAAGTAAAACGGAACTGCAATACTTTCTTTCCTATCTATAAAGCACTAGTGCTTGAAAAAAAACTTCAGAAACCGTTGAGTCTAGTTCCATCAACTTTATTTTTCAGATAAAAAAGTTATTTTCGCCGGGACCGGTTTGGCTCAGTGGATAGAGCATCGGTCTGCGGACTGAAAGGTCCCGGGTTCGATTCTGGTCAAGGGCATGTACCTTGGTTGCGGGCACATCCCCAGTGGGGGGTGTGCAAGAGGCAGCTGATCGATGTTTTCTCTCTCATCGACGTTTCTAACTCTCTGTCCCTCTCAATTCCTCTCTGTGTAAAATCAATAAAATATATATTTTTTAAAAAAAAGTTATTTTCATAATACAATAAAACTAAATTTTAAACTACAAAAGGATGATAGACAAATCTATTTAGAAATTTACAAAATCTACATAAATGACTTGAGTTAATGAAAACAGAACTAAAAATTACAAATTATTAAAAACATCAATGTGAATACTATATATCAAAACCAGCTGGATACAGCCAAAAGCGGACTCGGAAAAAAACATACAGTCCTAAAATAAAATTAGACCTAGCGTTTAAAAAGAGATCACTCAGTGACTGAGCATCAACCTGTGAACCAGGAAGTCACAGTGGAAGTCGTGGTTTGATTCTGAGTCAGGGCACACGCCCAGGTTGCAGATGATCTCCAGTATAGGGTTTGGAGGGGGGGCAGCCAATCAATGATTTTCTCTCATCAATGATGTTTCTCTCTCTCTCTCCCTCTCCCTTCCTCTCTGAAATCAATAAAAAAAAATATGTGTGTGGTTTTTTGGTTTTTAAAAAAAAAAAAAAAAAAAAAGGTGGCTACAAACCTTTAACAAATCAGATCAAGGAGCAAAATCATATATAACACATTCACAACATTAGGAACAAGGAGAAAAAAACTGAAAAAACAGATTATAAGAAGAATAAAACATTTTTGCAAGAACTTCTGTGTGACTAAAGACAACATACATACAATTAAGAGACAAGAAACATATATATCTGCAATATACATAAGGGGGAGGGATAGCCAGAAAAGGTAAATAACTCCTAAAAATTAATAAGGAAAAAACTAGCAACCTAGAAAATGAGCAGAGAAAAAACAAAAAACAGGCAATTCACAGAAAAAGAAACTAAAGTAAATATAACATACTGGACCTCTGATAAATCAGGGCACTGCGACCTAAAACAAGGTATTATCATCTTT